TTGATGTGAATGAATGTTACAGATGTTATAGACGTGTTTTGAAAGAGAAGAATAAACCGATCCAGTTGCACAATCTAGTCTTTCTTACGAGAGAGAGAGAGAGAGAGAGAGATGGGGGGTGGGGCCCTTCAATATTAAATAATTATATTTATTTTTCTTTTAAAAAAAAATTAAGGCAAAACCTTCATAAATGGTCCCTGTGGTTGTGCAATGACGGAAATGCCCTTCACTTAACGGCCAAAAGCTAACGGAGTTAGCGAAAAGGACCATTTGTTAAAAGTTTTGAAACCACAGGGACCATCTGTGAGGTTTTTATAAATTAGGGAGAAAACTTCAGATTTTCGGAAACCACAGGGACCATTTTTGAAGTTTTGTCTTAATAAAATTTCCAAACCGCGAGACGCAACTATGATGGACGGTTTTTTTTGTGCGACTCAATTTATCTTCGGGCATTTAGGGTTCTAATTGGAAAAAAACCCATAACCGTAATGGGCATGTTAATGTGATTTATTGGGAGCATTATGTGCGTGCTTTTCTTGAAGCCTACCGATTGATCATTTCTTTTCTTGGGCTTTACTACTTGCATCTATCCTTTGGAGAAGAAAGAAAAAAACGCACATTGGGTTGAAGAAACGAAGTGAACGATCAAACAAGAGGAAGAAGCAAAATAATGATTGTTGTGTGGAGAGAGAACGCATTGAATCGAGAAGAGAGGGGGAGGAAGGGGATGCCAATATTGATTCTTGAAGGTGAATTAGAGCTGCGGAAATCAATACCAATCTTGTTAAAACCCTCTACTTCTTCTTATCATGTTTTCATCTCAATTTATTGAGAATTTGTTGAGTTGGTGAGCCAATTTGGTATCATTGATCATACTTCTTTTTACCTTCAATCTTATGATTTTTTTTATGTAATCAAAACCCAACCATATTTTATTGTGTTTTGATGATTTGTGGCAGTCAAAATCATATTAAGAACACTCTCAAATGTGTTGTTAATGATTCTCATGAATTGCTCAAAACTATGGAGTCAATACCTTCTTTTTGTTGCTAGATTTCATACTTCTTTCTATGTCAATTCTAGTGATTTTTCATGAGGTATTTTTCTATAAAAATACCATGTTTTGAACCATCCAAAAGGTCTTCAAAACAGTCCCTAAAAAGTTTTAATATGAGACTTAATGGTGAAGGAAACTCAACCCCTAGTGGTGTTTCCTCTTTTAGCAATGAACTTTGTTTTTCCTATAAAAACAATGTACTTTGAATCATGGCTTGAGGTTTAAATTGTTATTTTAACTTCTTGACATGTTGCTACTGTTAAGAACTCAATTTCCATCTTTATAGATGATTTTGATTATGGCTTAATGGGTAAAGTTGTCAATTAACCCTTAAAATGCAATGCTGGAAAAACTGAAAAATTACCAATCTGTCCCTGTTTTGAAAAAAATCTAGAAAAATCATCAGAAGCCGGATTGATGATCCATAAACTTTCAAACTTTTCACCTTGAGTCTAGTTTGTCCATGATTTTCCCCAATATCTGATATTGTCCCTAACCAAGGTGAAAATCATTTTTTTTCACTGACTGGTCAGAAATTAGCTGCACGAATATGCTGTCTTATAAAAATGATAAACAAATCGTAGAAAAATTGGTTGGACCTGTGCGAGTAGTACTTTTAAAGATAAAAGTATGGACTACATGAATATGGAATAAAGTTGAATTTTTTACAGGTTTAAGTGGTGCTAAAGTGGCATTGAATAGGCTGTTGTTTCAGGTCAAAATCTGAAATTTTGGCCTAATGACTAATTTGCATGTTTGGGTAGTAAAATGCTACTATTTGCTCATGTAAACTTCTAGTAATATATTTATTTGTGTTTAACTATGGGAAGGTTTGATACCTCAGGTTCTACAAGATTTGAACTGTGGAAAGGGTGCTTGTTTGACAAAGGTGAGTCAATATTTGTGGTTGTTTAAAGTACTTATTAGGGATTCCACATCTTAGAGAGATTGGAATGAACCTAGGTTGTTAGGTTGCATGTACCCCAATTGTGAATCATATACTGATTTGAATGATGCTACCTTCATGCTATACTTTTTGGTTGCTATTTTGATGCGAGGATGTGATAGGTCCATGATAGAAGGAGGGTTTGTGTTGATTGTGTGTGAATGTATGCATGCAATAATTTGTTGGTAATATTTGTATATGATGGTTGGGATAATCCATGCTAGTGATATAATATGCCTTAATGATGAAGTGATGATATGAGCATGATTATATAAAAGATGTAAAATGTCTTAACTTGTGATACCTTGTTGCATGTTTACATAATATGAAGTATGGAAGTAATATGCCATCTAATATTATTAATTGAAATTGAGCACAATTACTTAAGGAGGTTTGTAGTGTAACCCTTATGTGATGAATTAGTAATGTATTAATTAAAAAGGGGAATACAATTAGTGGGGCGTAAACGGTAGCAACCTAGACTTAGGTGTGTGTACCCTATCCGAATACTTGTGAGGGCCTAATAGGTTGGAAGATACCTAGAGGAAAAGAGCTTAAGCCAAATGGAGACGTCGGGTGGTGTTTCTAGATCACCACTCGGGACATGGTTCATGGACACTAAGGTGTTCAAGGACTAGAGTGATATTGGCGTAGTAATGGCGCTGGATCAAATGTCACATTTGAGTGGGAAGTTCAAGTGATGGGAACAATGACAAGTACCACTCTCGAACGACAACGTGCATACTTGTATGTGCAACATCGGAGTAGCGAACGCAACGAACCAGGAGCAATGTTACGAGTGAGAGTCGCGCCTCACTCGGTGCATTGGGTCGAGCCAGACACGTTAGTAGTGAATGAGGTTTTTACCTCTTGGATTAGTGATGGACCCATGGTTAGTGATGGACCCAGTGGCGTAGGGTTGGGTCGGTCACTTAGTAGTGAATGGGTTTTGCCTTCAGGTTAGTGATGGACCTACGTGCGAGGTGTCTACCTTACGGGTTAGTGGTGGACCCATGTATAGGGAATCTTCTTTACGGGTTAGTGATGGACCCAGGGCTAGTCTTAATTATTAATTATCTAATATTAAAAGATAAATAATAACGGTAGACCCTAATGATACTCTAGTGATGAACATGCGATGTAAATGATGTATATGATGTGTGTGATGTATGTGATGTATCTGATGCATGTGATGTATGTGATGATATGTTATGTGTGTTTTCCTAACATTGTACTTATGGTTGACTACTTGACTCAATTAGCATTTGCTGACACTTGTTTCTTTGCTTGTTGTTGTCTTGCATTGGTACAGGTAGCATAGTCTGACGACATTTTAAGGATGGGAAATTTGGGTAGTTACATTCCATTTTATGACTTAGTATTGATACCGTTTGGACATGTCGTGGAGTTTTCTTAATACTTGTTTTTGATTTGGCTTATGAACTATATTTTAATGAATGATGTTTTTGAAAATAAATGTAGCATTGGTGATGTTTCCTTTAAACTTCAAATAGACTTCCGCTAACGTATTCTGTTAAATAAATATTTTAAAAATAAAAAAATTGGTGAAAAATCATGATATCACACACACACACTCTCTCTCTCTCTCTCACACACACACACACACATATATATATATATATATATATATATATATATATATTCTCTTATTTCCGTAATTTTCTAAAAATATAATTACCATTTTACCCTTACATATTATTAATCCAATTTTTTAAAATATTTTTTATTAATTATCAAAAATAACTTAACTAAAGGAAATGATTGGCTAATTATTGTTCTCACTTTATTGGGTGTTTTTACTTGAACTATCACTTATATATATATATATATATATATATATATATATATATATATATATATATATATAGGGAAATGATCAAATGAGAACACCTAAAAGGTTGAGAACACAAGAACAGTTGTGGACCAATTATTTTATAAGGGCATTAGAGGCATTTTACAATTTAAATAAATATGGATAAGTGGAAAGTAATTAATCAATTCCGAAAATCATGGGAATTTTTTCCCCAATTATTAAGAATACTTAAAATCTTCCTTTTAATTAATAAATTAATAAAAATATCATTTAACATGAATTAAAAAAAAACGTTTATTTGTTTTATATTTTTATTTTTACTAACAACATTTGATAATGAATAATTTATTGGTTTACCTCATTTATTTTTAAAAAAATATATCTTCATAAATAATGATTTATACATTACATTTAAAAATGAATAAAATTGTAAATTATAAATGAATTAACTCAGTTGTATTTATGAATACACTTGTAAAATCATAAATGAATAAAACCCGAAAAAAAGATTATAAAATCAACTAAAATGGTACTCATATATAAATAAATAAAACACATTTCTATTCATATAAGAATATAATTATAATAGTAAATGAATAAGTTACAATATATATTTTTTTACACTGAAACTAGTGCTACAATTACAATCATAAATGAATAAAACACATTTTTTCTCCTTCCAAAAGAGGTATTGGTGTCCGTGTTTCATTTGGTAAATCTCCCACCTCCCACTATATGCATGTTTATTCATTGTATCTGCAAAAATGTTAATGAAACAATTATGTATAATTATATAGTCATTCACACATAAATACACTAATATTCACAAATGAATACCCTGTTATTCCTAAATAAATATAGTCATTCAAACTTAAATTCACACATAAATATATTGGTTGTGGTTGCTTGCCTTGCTCCTCTCGGACCAGCCTCATGGAGTATTCATTGATGATTACCTGCAAAATGAGACATCTAACATTATGTTCATATAAGATTACAACTGCAAGCATTCAAGTTCCATTTTTCTGAATTCGGGCATTTCATCGAGCACCTTATGTGCATAACTTAACTCCATCACCGCCAACTGAGCTCACCAAATCCATTAAATCTCATCAAATCCATTTTACACTTCCATTAAATCTCATCAAATCCATTTTTAAAGATTAACTAAGCTCACCATAGAACACTCCTCTAGCAATGGAATCCCTGTTAGCATCTCCGAGCGCCGCCGAGTCCAAATAAGTCTCCGCCAACTGCACTCTCTTCACATTATCCTGTTCTTGAACCAACATGTTCCCATACTCCAACAGCTTCTCAACTGTTATCTTCGGTTGTTCAAATGTCGGAGGCCCTTCCCTTGAGTTCACAAGCCTCTTCCCTATGCCTTCCACTCCGATACCTCCAATCCACTCCCTCACTGCATCATCGTACACTCTTGCCCTCAATTCCCCGAAGAAATCTGAACAAGAAATCATTCATAAGTTATATATATACATATATTTTAACATTTTCCGAGGTTAATTTACAGAAGAAAGAATACCGATGGATTGTCCTAGAAAAGTGTCGACAAGCTTCGTAACACCTTCAGGAGAGAGACCATTGGTTTTGAAGATTCCGATGCAGACACCGATTCTGTCTTCTCTCGTCGGAGCCCAGTAGAATTTCTCCATACGTCCGTCACGGATGAGGGGAGCGTAAAGGGTGGAGAAGTCGTTACCGGTGACGATGATCGGAACTCTGCATCGAGACGATGAAGAACGAAAGTCATCGCTGGGGTCTGCCACTGTTCGCCGCCAACATAACTCCATCACCGCTTCTTCCCCCTCCTCCTTCTCGATCTCACTCTGAATCCTCGTGTACTCTCTCATCTGTTTCACATTTTTAGATGCTCTGGTGGTGTATAGATGAGGGAGGCGACGAAGCGTGCCCTAGGTATATATATATATATATATATATATATATATATATATATATATATATATATATATATATATATATATATATATATATATATATATATATATATATATATATATAGAGAGAGAGAGAGAGAGAGAGAGAGAGACGGCAAATTAAAAGGAAAGATATCAGTGTGTGAGAAGTTATAGAAATTAAATAAACATTCAATTACTATTATACCCTTTTCACCATTTAAAGTTACACTTTAATACCAATAATTTTCAGAATTTACATAAATGGTCCGTCTGATAATAGCCTTAGATTTGAATATTTAGATGATCTAGATATGTTCTCGCGTTCTCAACCTTTTAGGTGTTCTCATTTGATCCTACTCCTATATATATATATATATATATATATATATATATATATATATATATATATATATATATGTGTGTGTGTGTGTGTGTGTGTGTAACATCCAAATTTCCAAACCAAAATTTTCATTTTTAAATTCATATAAGAACATTGTTCATAAAAAACATCTTAGGAAAATCATAAATGTTAAATACAAATAATCATCAACACATCAGAGTGTCCCAAAATATAAGGAATCATAAACTGCAGGCAAATATGTACAATCAATCATTCGCCTTCCCGCGATCCTCAGAAGTACCTGAAACACATTTAATCAACAACTGTAAGCACGAAACTTAGTGGGTTCCCTAAAATACCACATAGAACACAACACAAAATAAATAGTTATGGGTTATTAGCAACCCTGGAGACTACTCGAAGTCTCATTGGGCAAACAACACGCCCTGTGGGTTATCAGCAACCCTGGAGACTTCCCGGACTCTCAGCACACACAGTAACACATCACAGTAAAAGCACATAAACCCAGCTGATCAACACATGTACTCTACCACACAAGTAAGAATAGTGAGGAGACTCACCTCGAACAGATGACTAATAGAACTCACACCCGAATTGTCAGAACTAGACTGCGACTTCAAAAGATGACAAAGAGATGTATATTCTAGATCCAAAAGCTTGAATGCAACACCACCTCTTGAATGATCTTCCTTCACTACCAAGAATACTGAAAAATCACTGTCAAGCTTCAAATCTCACTCACAAATGATAGGGTTTCAACTTTAGGGTTTAGAGGATATGGAGGCTGGTCATGAGAAGGTTCGAGGGGATTAAGATGCTTAAATAGGGGACATAACCCTACAAATTTAGGTTTTAAGCTCTGCATGAGTACGCCCGACATACCTATATGTACGCCCAACGCACTCCTTCTCCGCGACGACTTCCAAGTTGACTTACACCCGGCGTACCAGCCTGGTACACCCATCGTAAGGGCCTTATTTGCAAGCATTTAAAATGTAAAGGATTGAAATGAAAACACCTGACATCGGGTGTGACAATTCTCCCCCACTAGAATTAGACTTCGTCCTCGAAGTCAACCACTGCAAAGAGATCAGGATAATGCTCTTGCATCTAAGCTCAGGCTCCCGAGTCCACTAAGAGCCTTTCTGATGTTGCCACTAAACTTTGACCAAGTTCACTACCTTGTTCCTCAAGGTCTTCACCTTCCTATCCAAAATCACCACCGGCCTCTCGATGTAATTCAGGCAACCATCGACAAGAATGTCTTCCAAAGGAACCACAATTGTCTCATCGGCTACACACTTCCTCAACTAGGACACATGGAAGATGTCGTGAATCTGACTTAACTTCTCAGGCAACTCTAATCGGTATGTCACCTTGCCCAGTCGGACAATCACTCTGAAAGAACCAATAAACCTGGGGCCTAGCTTGCCCCGCTTCCTGAATCGGATAACACCTTTCCGAGGTGATACCTTCAGAAGCACCAAATCTCCAACCTGAAACTCCAACTCAGAGCGTCGTCGATCCGTGTAGCTCTTATGATGGTTTTAGGCCGTTAGCAACCTCTGTCTGACCTGCTGAATAAGCTCTGTCATCTTGAGCACTATTTTAGGGCTCCCCATGACCCTCGGTCCAACCTCTCCCCAACAGATAGGAGTCTGGCATTTCCTCCCATACAAAAGCACAAAGGAAGGCATGCCAATGCTGGCATGATGGCTGTTGTTATAAGAAAACTCAGCCAAAGGAAGGTAGGAGTCCCACCTCCCACCAAAATCAATGATGTCGGCCCGTAACATATCTCCAAGCATTTGAACAGTCTACCTGCTCTGCCGGTCTGTCTGCGGATGATAGGCGGTAATGAAATGCAATCGGGTGCCCAACTCTCTGTGAAACCTCTTTCAAAATCTGGAAGTAAAACGAACATCCCGGTCAGACACAATAGAATTCGGCACCTCATGACGAGCCTACTACCTCTCGAACATAAATCTCGACCAATTTCTCAACAGAAGAGCTCTCACTTATGGCTAAGAAGTGAGCACTCTTCGTCAAACGATCAACTATCACCCAGATAACATCAAAACCCTTCGCAGTCTTCGACAATGGTGTAATAAAATCCATCATGATCTGCTCCCACTTCCACAGTGGGACCTCCAAGGTCTACAAATTGTCGTGAGGGTATTGGTGTTCAGCATTGACCTTCCGGCAGGTCAATCAACGCTCCACAAACCAGGCCACATCCCACTTCATACACGACCACCAATAGCTATGTTTCAGGTCAAGATACATCTTTGTAGCCCCCCCCCCCCCCCCCCCCCCCGGATGAATGGATAATCTCGACTTGTGGGTCTCATCCATTAACATCCATCGAGCCCCACCAGCATACGGTACCCAAAACCATCCATGAAGAGTCAATAACCACTTATTGTCGATATCAAAGTCTGAAACCTAGCCGACCACCCGCTCACTCTTTCGATTTTCCTCCTTTATGGCCTCCGACTGTGCTTCCCAGATCATCTCCAATACTAGAGTCATCACATTCATCCTCAAACACACATCCTGAATCGGGGCACTGATTGCCCTCCGGCTCAAGGCGTTGGACACCATATTGGTCTTTCATGGGTGGTAGAGAATCTTGCAATCATAATCTTTTACTACATCAAGCCATCTCCTCTGCCTCAAGTTCAGATAAAGTTGATCCATAAGATATCGCAGGCTCTTATGGTCCGTGTAGATGGTATACCGAACCCCATAAAGATAATGGTGCCATATCTTGAGCGCGAAAACCACCGCCCCTAACTCAAGATCATGGGTGGGATACTTCACCTCATGAGGCTTCATCTGCCTCGAAATGTACGCAATCACATGCCCTCTCTATATCAACACATCACCCAATCATGAAATGGATGCATCACAAGAGACCACAAAATCCTCAACTCCCTCAGGAAGGGCAAGTACCAGCGTCTCGCAAAGTCTCTGTCGAAGAGTCTCAAATGATGCATGCTGCTCAGGCCCCCATCTAAACAAAACATCCTTCCTCGTCAACTTAGTGAGAGGAACGACAATCTTGGAGAAGTCTCAAATGAATCTCCAATAATATCCCACCAAACTGAGGAAACTTTGAATCTCAGATGGAGACTTCAGAACCTCCCAACGCATAACCACCTCTATCTTGGTTGGGTCAACCAAGATACCATTTTGATTGACGAGGTGCCCCAGAAACTGAACCTCGTGCAACCAGAACTCACACTTGGAGAATTTGGCACACAACCTCTCTGTCCGCAAAACCCCAAGAATCTCGGGAAAATGCTCCTCATGTCGCTCTCTAGTCTTCGAATAAACCAAAATATCATCAATGAAGACAATCACTGACCGGGTCCAACATGGGCCTACACACCCGGTTAATGAGATCCATGAACATTGTCGTTGCATTGGTGAGCCCAAAAGGCATAACCACGAACTCATAATGCCCATACCGAGTTCAGAAGACCGTCTTCTGAATATCCTCCTCTCGCACCCTCATCTAATGGTAACCGATCCTCAGATTGATCTAGGAGAACCAAGACGCCCCCCTGCAACTGATTGAAAAAATCATCAATCCTCGGCAATGGATAACGATTCTTCACCGTCAGTTTGTTCAGTTCCCGATAATCAATACACATCCAGTACAAACCATCCTTTTTCTTGACAAAAAGGATCGGTGCTCCCTACGACGAACTACCCAGCCGAAAAAACTCCTTTTCTAATAGCTCCTGAAGTTGATAGGATAACTCTTAAATCTCGGGTGGTGCAAGGCGATATGGTGCCTTGGCAATCGGTGCCGCACCAGGGATCAGGTCGATCCGAAACTCCACCTGCCTCTTGGGAGGCACACCCGACAACTCCTCCGGAAAAACATCAGGGAAATCACGCATAATAGGAACATCAAAAATGGAAATCGATCTCTTCTCTTCCACCCGAGTATCCACCACATATGCTAGATAACCCATACACCCATGCTGTAAACATTGCCTCACCCTGGTGGCGGAATAGAAAGTCGAACCTGACCTAGTACCCTCGCCGTAAATGGTAAGCACTCCCTTCCTAGGATCTCGAACCATCACCAATTTCCACTCACAATCAATCAGAGCCCCCAAACTGGCTCAACTAATCCATACCCACGATAACACAGACATCTCCCATCACAATAGGGATAAGGTCTATCGGGTATCCACACCAAAAATCTCCAATACACAGCCCCGATAAAGTCTGAAACGGAGACCGCACGCTCATCTGCTATATAAATCCTCAATGGCCTACTCAGGGCCTCTTATTCAATGCTAAAATCACGACAAAAGGATGATGATATAAAAGATCGACTCGCACCCAAGTCAAACATCACTAGAGCATATACAGAATTCACAAGGAAAGTACCTAACATGAGCAAGATTATAAGCAAACATAAAACAAATCAACAGAAAATAATTAAGAAACACGTACTAGCCATGACATCCGGTGTCGATCGAGCCTCCTCTGTTGTCTACTGAAATGCTCTCCCTCAAGCCCTCGGAGCCTCGGTCTTCCCCTGCCAGCCATC